CCCCCCCCCCCCCTCCGAGCCCTAATTAGCACGATACTGTGCTACATGTACATAAGTTAACAAGAAAAAGAAGAGAAAAAAGAAGAATACCTTCTTTTCAGAGAATCATCTTCATCGCGCAAAACTCGCTTAAGTTATTTATGTGTAAGCTATGCGTAAATTATTTATGTTCTCATTGGCCCATCCCGCGATACGCATGAAAAAAGAAACAGCTCCAACGCAACTTACATCAATGGACAGTCGATTGTGACTTCTCTCAGTCAATCCGTGTTCGTTTCGCGATTCTCAGTCCAGCACATAATCGTAAATTAATTTTTTGTTCTTACTGTTTCTTTTCTTTTTAAAATTGTTCTGTGTTTTTTTAGTTTCGACATGTATCGACCGAGTATTTATATCTTAGATACGCGGGATGTCTCGAAAAATGATAGAGATGGGACATCCCACACACACACACACACACACATACACACAACACATATATACACACATCGTGTTAAAATGTGACGACTAAGGTCACTTTATTATAGAGTTGGAGAGGACACATTTTTCAACGCAGTTTTACGTGATACACGCATCGCTATACTGTACTGCAATGAGTTTACTGATTAGTCCTTTATTATATCTTGAGAGTTTTCCTTAGTAGATAGTATTAGTAACTGTAAAAGGACATTCTCCACACTCCCCTCGTTTAACTCGTTAGTTGATGGGTCCGACGACCAGTCGGAAGCAGGAAGCATCTAATTTTTTTCTTTTCTGTTTTTTTCTCACCACGAACACGATATATATTTCAGTTAATTGGAGATCGTTTCCCTCCCCCTCATTTGGTTTCTTTGTTTTCTGCTTTTCTCGGTCACTACGTCGTATCATTGAAATCGCGCGTATGAATAAACGTACAAGCTCTTCGTTTTCAAAGACGGGAAATGATTTGAAAACATGTGAAACATGTTATCTAGTTGCGACGGACTAATCACAAACTACAACGTGGTATCTTTGTACAATAGGAAAGTTCTGAAAAAAAGAGAATATAAACAGAAAGAGTCGATCCGTAGCTCCAGGAAACTATCAGCCGCGTGGAAGGAACGATTTCCGTATGCCAAGAGCATCGTTCGAGACGATAACACGTAAAACCGTGAAGCGGCTTCTCGCGGATCTTTTGACAGCAGGACGTTGCCCCATTTCGAATGTGCCTCGCGCGTTGGTGACAGCGAACTTACTCTCTTTTCATCGCGACTATCCTACGTTATTGTACATACAACGATTACGTTTGATTGACGATCACGAGCCCGACGTCAAGTTGTGCGTTGATTTAGCGTGTCGCCGCTTCATGCTTTATTTTGTAAGTTCGCATACGTAGCGTCATATATTATTCATGATTCTTGCACGCATGAAAGATTTGAACAGAACTGTTAATATACGTCGTGTTACACGCACTTTCGTTATACATAAGAGCCCGTATTTTTTTTTTTTGTTATAATTGCACGTTTAAAGATATATGCGTTTATACATGGTTATCTTATTATCTCATTGTTTGCATATTACATCGCCAATACACAAAGTCAGAGAGACACGTGGAGGAAGTTCGAGTTTTGTATTTTCTTTTAGTTTTACCGGTAGCATACCCTGCGCGTTGGACAGTAATTTCGGTTTACGTTGAACTGTCGTCTTCCGCAAAACGAGGCGAGGATGAAGTGACAGGAAAGATAAGAGAGACGCATTTATTATATCGGGCGGTAATGTACAATGAAAGTGTACATAGATAACAGGTGCATACATTATATAATGCTGATCCGCAACCGGCAGAGCTATACTCCCCGATTCGCTGTGTGACGGCTCGACGATGAGTGTGTGTATGTGTGTTGTGTGTACAATTTTGTGTGAGAAATTCTAGTTCTATAGTAATCGTAGGTGCCTAAAGTCAGCAGGACTCGATTAAATAAGGTCGCCAAAAACAAATGAAACACACTCGCCCACACAGAGAGAGAGAGAGAGAGAGAGAGAGAGAGAGAGAGAGAGAGAGAGAGAAAGATCTCTTTTTAGACACTTTTCTATATCTTTGGAAACCTTTTCGAAAGTTCTTTTTTCCACGAACAGCAGAGTATCGTCTTCTGAAATGAGTTTTTCGGTTTAAAATCGAGACAAATGAGACGAGAGATAAAAAGAGAAAATACGCGCGCATGCATAAATCCCGAGATAATATACGTGTAATTCGATATAATAAGCGGATACTCACTCACTCACTCAAGAGAGAGAGAGAGAGAATGAAAGAGAGAGAGAGGCACCAAACGGGTGCATCCCCGAAAAAAGGACCAAATTAAGAACAAAAGAATTTGTAGGGGCCAAGGAGAAGTCCAAACTTCTTCTAAACGGCCCCCAGACTACTTACACAAAACGCGATAAATAACGAAAAAACCAAATAATCATAGGTGCTGGATACTAAATACGTCACTCGATATTTTATAAGGTGCCTTCGCTCTGTTCGTTGCAGTAAAGCTGTATACCTGTTATACTCTATAGGCCATTCATTTACTCGATTTGTAAAGACAAATCCTGATTTCCATGTATACGTGTGCGTTGTATACGTGTATGTAAATGGAGCGTGTGAATCTTAATGATCAGCAACGTCGACATCACGAGTGAATAGAAGAAGCGCATCGACGATATCGTGTGTGGCTGTCGCTCTCGTGGATATTCCGTTGTGCTTTTGCGTCCTCTTCATGCGATGACAGGAGGAGGACGAGATGAGCAGCAGTGAGCACGATTTTTTTTTTCTTTCACGAATCAGTTCTTTTTGCAAATTGTACAGGACAGCCGTGTAATGTAAATATTTGTAAGATACCGCAATTAGTTGGACTCGCGACTTCGAGAAGAAGTTGTCACATGTCGCGTGCGCGCGCGAACATTCGGAGAGCGTGCGGCCACACGTGTATGTGTATGTGAAACTTACACGTTTTTCCTGAGAGACTCGACCATTAGACCGAGAGTAGACGAGATAATGCGCCGAGAATTCATCGAGAAAGAAGTGCTCCTTTGATCACAAAGGGGGAGAAAAGTATGTCAAGTTGGTAGCATGCAGAAGGGTAGTAGACGAAATCCTCCGGAAGATAGACTTCATAGAGAAGATCGTGCTTTTTTTAACCGGAAATTTATTTTATATTAATCCAGAGCACAGAGAGAGAAAGAGAGAGTCGAAAAATCAAAAGAAGTGTAGTATTCCTACTCGATTCTTTTAATGTCATCGGGAGAGCTCATGCATGGAAAAAACGCACGAGTTAAGTGAAAGACGAAACCGGTCTGCGGTCAATCTAGTGAGTCTGCCCTGTTAGTTTTATTTTTACTCGCTTTATCTTTGTACAATTTCATTTTCCGCTCCTCCCCTCGTTATTTCTCTTTGAGACTTGGGTACATACACTGAGAAAAAAATTATTGAAAATTTATTCGTGGAATATAAAGTTTATTTTGCAAAAATAAATACAATTTCTTAAAAATAAACTTTATATTCCGCGAGTAAATTTTCAAGTATTTTTTGTTTTCAGTGCAGGCCATTAGTTTGAGCTCTCGTTTATCGATAAAACTGCCTCTGAATGCGACTGAAAGTCAACCGGAAGACTTATAAGCCGCATTTAAAGGCACTTCCATCGATAAAAGAGAGTTCAGAATAAAAGTTATAGACTTAGTTTAATTTCGATACAAGAAATGTGTGTGTAACAGAGCGCCGTTATGAAGAAGAGCGGACGGACAAATCGGCCAACGCGCTCATCGCACTTAGGATCTCTTACAGCCTTCGATATCGAGTATTTCACACATTTCATGTTTAGAATTAACAATATCGCGGTCGAGTGTACAAGTCTCTCATCGATACTAGTGAAACGAAGAGGGCAATCATTCTGCGACGCGTGCGATTGATTTTCTATTGTAAAACGAGTCTTCGGCTTGGCACAGAGAGAGAAAAAGAGGGAGAGAGATACATCTCTTTCTTTCATGCGGAGCGGACAAGAAGCGGTGTAATGCAAAGCGAATCTAATGGCCGGTTTCACCAAGTTTTCTCATGTCACACAACATCCATCGTTCGATACTCAACGAGCAGAAAGATGTAAAGTGCATCACGAAGCTCACACGAGTGTCGTCTTGTTATTTCACTGTCAGCCGATGAACTTTCGAATCATCTCATTATCTGTCGGAAAAGAAAGAAGAGAAGCATTAAATGCGTCGAAACTTGATACACGTGTAACATTAATCCGAATTCGAAGGATATTTGGTCAAGTCGGCCGTGCCACCCCACTTGTCGATTAAACTTTTATACGAAACGTCGTATATCTCTTGTACATTAGTGTACTTTAGGTCGTAAGTGCGCATTGTACGAAGAATGGATCTTAAAGCGGGTTGAAGTCGATCACACTGCCTAAGATCTATATTTTCCTCTTTCTTTTAATAACAAACAGAATAAAAAATAAAAGTGTAACACTTTATAAATTATAATACTGTATCATTATATTATAATATTTTATCATAATATATAACGTAGCTGCTAAATATAATACAGTGCTTTTTAAATTGTGTTTTGCAATATTCGAAAAAATAAGGCGGAGAGATAACTAGATAAGAGAAAGAAGATAATGATGATCGACTCACCCCGTTTCATGATTTTGAATTGCTCTCTCTTTCTCTCACGCAGTCTCTCTCTATATATATATCTCTCTCTCGTTCGCTTTCTCTCTATCTATCTCTCTCTCTGTCTGTTTCTGATTTATGCCGCAGATCGTGACCTCCACAGACCCAGCCGTAAATCCGGCTGTTTTTTGAGAAAAGAGAAAGTATTGTTTGGTTACATTAAGTCGCGTCACTGGTACGGACGATCCACCCCTTGGAGTCGCCGTTTATCCCGCGCGCGCGCGGCGGTTGTACATAGAA